GATGAAGCATGGCATGGTATGGTATGCTTTTTAGGGAGCATTCATGTAATTTAGGGAAACTTATGGAATTGCTAATAAGTTACATTGTACCTATTTCTTTATGGGAAATTTATCAAAATACACCTTATCTATCAACTATTTGACATTTTACCGAATTTTAGCTATTTTAGCTTGCCATCGTGTGGGTTTTGATAAGTTTATTGGAAATTAAATTAAAATAAATTGGTAGAATGATAAAAATATCATCTATTGGGTAGATAAAAGTTCCTTCGTTACATTTGAAAAACTGGATCAAAATCGGCATGATTGTTGGAATAGTTTAAAATGTTACAATGTTAAATAATGATAAACTATGCGCATTTTGATAAATTTCCCAATAATTTATTATAAAGCTCATTTTGAATTTTCTCTATTATCCTACAGTATCATTTTCTTGATAAAAGTGAAACTTAACAAATATTTCTTTTCCATTTGAATCAATTTTCATATTAAAAGCAAAGACACTGCAACGATCCCACCGACCCACTCTCTCTCGCAAAGATAATATATATCGACCAATCAAAGGTGACCAACTACCAATAGTCGCATGCCCTCCCCTCAGTTTAATTTTTGGGGAAAAGTTTATACAAGGTGTTCGCTTTATATTATAAAAGTAATGTGCGTCTCAAAAACTCATTGAAAAATAGTTTTGTGATGCTGATAACTCTCCAATTGATCATCTCTATGTCGAGATGTATGAATGGGAAGAAAAACAAATTTGAGTTTTAAAAATACGGCAGATCGTTACATATTACATGTTCATTTTTAATGTGTTGTTCATAGATGTACCATCTTTTAAGCTTTAAATTTCATGATTAAGGGAGAAAATAGATTTATAGGTAAGTACAAGACCAAAACTACACTTTACTCTTTTTTTATTTTTATTTTTGACAAAAACCATAACTACATTTTTCAAAAGGGTAAAGTTTATATAGGGTGTCAACCTTACACTGGTCAAGTAAGATGCACCTAAAAGACATACTAGAGAAGGTTGTTATTATGCTGGAAAACCATCAAATTGGTCATCTTGATATCGAAATTCATAGAAACGAGATAAAAAAAAAGAAGAAGGCTGATTTCTAGTCCTAAAAATAGCTCATCTTCTAACACATTATCTAGACTATCAATTTTCAAGATTTTTTTGTGTTTGTAGATCTGCTTGATCGTCACTATTTTTGGAACCTTAAATTTCATTATTAGGGAAACCAATAGATTTTCATATCATTGCAAGGCTTTGCAGCACTGAAATTGCACCTTTGACATAGTTTTGAGGTACACCTTACTTGATCGTATAAGGTTGACACCTTGTACAAACCTCACCTTTTTAAAAAAGGTTCGGAAGTTGTGGTACTTGCTGTTTAAAGTTAACACAAGAGTTTAAAAAAATAGCTATCGCCCGATCCATATCGAAAAATCGCTAAGAGTGTGCCAGTCCCGAACTATATATCTAAACCCCATTCCTATTTCCCCTCACCCAAATCCTTTTTCGCCCATGTGAGACTCGACTTCTTGTTAAGAAGTTTACTCCCAAGAAATTAACCATTCACATAAGAATACATCTAATGACCTAAACATGAAGCGATCCTTCAATGGCACTAAAAACACAAAACCATGGACCTTCCAAACCACGAGAAGATCCCTTTTGAAAAACATCAATCAAGTTCATCCATTGAATAAAAGCATAATACATCAAAAGATATCACATGCAAAAAAAATTACATCTTTCTATCGCCCCTCGCCCAAGCAAATATTATATCTTTCATAAAAGTAAGGATAAAACTGAAAATACACATAAAAAGACTATTGTTGATTGAATTGCTAAAAATAAAACCAAACAATAAATAACATGAAATTAAAGTAAATAATATGTAAACACAAAAGAAAAGAAAAAAAAGAAGATGTATTTTAGTTTAAGGAAAAGCAAGGGCATGTACACTAGTGTTTTTAAATTGTAAATCCCCTGAACTGATTTTAACTCGTGGCTAAGTCATTTCCTTTGGCTGCGGTTTGTATGAGGCTGAAGCCCTAAACAATAAAAGTAAGGTTCCTCTAAGATAGTATTGAAATATATTATTTTCATATTGTAAATCTTTAGTAGATGTATGGACACTTGAAAGTTTTGAAAATTGACGGTCTAGATAATACATTATAAGATGCATTATTTTGAATACTTAAAATCCATAGTTTCTCATGTCCATGCATCCTGAGGTGGAGATGATCAAATTAATGGTTTTTCAGCATCAAAACAACCTATTCAAGTGAATTTCTTAGGTGCGTCTTAATTTGATGGTTTAGGGCCTCACCCGTATATAAACTTTTTTCTTTTCTATGAATTTTTTTTTAAGGTTGGATCTGGTCCATTTGGCCAATGCAGCGATCCGAATTGTGATGCACTTATCCAAACTTTTTTTTTTTTATGTGACTAAAGTCACCAACCCGTTTTTTTTTAGAATTAATATTACAAAAGGAAATTGTCTACAAAGAGACCATTTATCTTTTATATATGGAAGTCGAAATCATTTTTATCTTTTAAATTTAAAAATGAGTAGTCATAAGAATGTCATTGAATCCACACAAAGTACCAATTTTATTTTTGAACTTCGTAATTCACCCCAAGTCATAGGATTTGACATCTAATGGGTGAAAATAATTACGACGTTCATGTACAAAAGATAAATAGTCTATTTATACGCTCCCTCAAAAAAAATTGATTAAAAGTCATATAAACGTGCCGTTCTCTCTTCTTCTTACACAAAATAAAGTTTCACAAAATAAGAAATGCTATATAATTCATATATACCCCTATCTCATATAACAATCATGTTAAAAAATCAATAAAATTATCATCTAAGCCCTCTGTACCCTCTTCTTTATATTATGTATCTCGAAAAGTGACTTCAACACTAGCAGTCCGAATCAGATTTGCTGATTTGGATTTCGAACCGGTCTAGACCAACTTCGCTTCTTGTCAAATTTGGAACATGTCGGGTTCTTATGGACTCACTTGATTCTATAAGGGAATTGAGTCTATTTTGAACCGACCAAATCATGTAGTTCCAACAAATCATATTTTTTCTTTTTTAATTTTAAGTTTATTTTAGCTTTTATGGACCAACTCTCACACATGAATATCAATCCGCTTTGCAATTCCATGTCGGTTTCCCTAATGACTAGTTCGCGTCGCCGATCTGGTTTTCCAAATTGTGCTTGAATATGGCCATCTTATATTCATCGTCCTTTCAAAGTTGTCTTGGTAGTTTAGTCATTTATTGAGAAGCTCGTTTCTAAGCTAAATGATACAAAAAAGGAATACACAACGAGGCCCATTTATTTATCATACAATGAGCTCGTGACTACTTTTGTCCAATCGGATGGTTGTAAGAGTGTAATACTAAGTTCAATTTTATTTTATTTTTCAAGTTTTGTGAAACATCTCAAGCTTATAGTGTAATACTAAGTTCAAATTTTTTTTTTTTTTCAAATTTCGTGAAACATCTCAAGCCATCTAATTTAACATTTAATGACTATGAGTAATTTTGACCTCCTTATAATAAAAATAAATCATATCATAATAGATAAATGCCATTTTATTGATAGTTTTCCTAAAATTGGGGTAATCTAAGATAAACCATATTTTAACCAAAAAAAAAAAATGAAAAAAGGAAAAAGAAAAAAAAGCACCACCAAACCCCACCCTAACATAGGTGGAGAGAGAGATGGACAAAATAAGAGAATCAATAATTATTTGTACCTTTTGTCAAAATAACAGGTGCAGTTGCCATTTAAGAGAGGTTTACTTAACGTGCTCATATTATATTATACGAGTAAAGCGAATTTCTAAATTTCATAGAAAATGTGGTCCTCGAACATGGAACCTTGTAATAGTTTGAAAACCATGTTCAACCCAAATTATAAAATTTTTAATTTAAAAAATGACACGGATCCAACAGATCTATAAACATTAAATAGACAATCCTGATAACTTATTAGAATATTAACTATTTCTAGGACTTTAAATTCCCATTTTTCGTTATATTTATACAACTTGAGGTGTACATGATCAATAGGAAGGTTTTACAACTTCAAAACAATATCTTCTATAGGATTTTTGAGGTCCACTTCAACCTTATATGCTTATTTTCCTTAAAGAAATGGGTGCTTTTTTTGGTACCTCTAAGAATCATTAGATTATTATTCTCAAAAAGAAAAAAAAATCGAGTTTCTTAACAATAGATCTTACCCTCTAAAAATTGGATGGTCACTATTCAATTTTGAAAAAATTAAATTATATATATATATATATATATAAGAAGATATTGTTTTGACCTAAACAATCAAATTCAAGCCTACTTCAAAAATTTCACTAGAAGAGATTGTTTTGATGCTCAAATATCCTCAAATTCATCACCTTGACATCAAGATGCATAGACATGAGAAAAAATAAATTTCAAGTTTTAGAAAATAGCATATTTTATAACACACTTTTTGACTGTCAATTTTCAAGATTTTCAAGTTTCCATAAATCTCTCGATCTACACTATTTTTGAAGCTTTAAACGTTATAAATAAAAATGAAAATGTATTTTAAGGCTATAAAAAAGATTTCAAGTTTTGAAACTATATTCTCAATACTATTTGAACGTAGGCTCGAATTTGATTGTTTAGAGCTTAGGCTCTATACAAACCGTACCCTTTATATATATATATATATATTCTTTAATATTTCAGCATGTAATCAAACACATATACGCAAAATTTCCTTGACATTCTAACAGGTTATCAAAACATCGTACCTTAAACTTATTTAAACCTTCCAAAGCAAATAAGTCCACTTCCCAGTAAATAGATAGTATACCCCCGCGGGAGTATAGAATCATTTGGCAGATAAGGGTAATTTAGTAAATTTGACAGAGGTAATTTAGTAATCCTTTCGGTAGGTAAACTCGAATGAGTTCCCGCCCTTACCCTAAAACGCATATGCGTTCCTCTGAAACCATCGCCCGTTTTCACCGCTTTTCATTTGAATATTAGCGCAAAATTTCAACTCTGCAACGGAAATAGGGCAAAATCTCTTATTGGGTTTCAATCCTCGATTTCTAGAGAGAGAAAGAGATGATCGATCTCATCTCAGTTACAGATCTATGAATCAGTGAAGTGAAATGAGGGCTCGTTTCATCACGAATTGCGGGTTACTTGCTGTTGAGATTAGGGCGAATTTCAGCTCTTAAACGCGTGTTGATTTGAATCTTGGGTTTCGGTTCCTTAATTCTAGAGAGAGAGAGAGAGAGAGAGATGAACCATCATGTATCTACTTCAGATCCAGGGTTCGACGAAGGGTAGGGAGGGTTTGAATTGTCTCGAGTTGGAGTATATTTGCGGTTGAAATTAAGGGAATTTGATCTCTTCAGCTGTGTAGTCGATTTGATTCTAGGGTTTTAGTGCATTGATTTTAGAGTTAGTAAGAGATGAGCGATCTGATTTCAACTTCAGATCCAGGTATCAATGAAGCAAAAGGAGGGTTTGATGCTTCTAAAGTTGCAGAGGTGAAGGCTTGGCTCTCTTCCCAATTTGATGGAGTAGGGAAGGAGGTGCCGGATTTTGAATACACAGGGAGAAGTGTAGCACATTTGCATGCCCTAGCCACCACTTCACAGTCAAGAACTCAGGCTGCTACTATTGTGGCCTCTGATATGAGACAAAAGGCCTCTGAATATCGAATCCAAGGTTAGGGTTTTCCTTTTTGTGGTTTTTGAATTTTGAGATTTTGTTTATGTTTTTTTTTACCCCTTTATTTGTTGTGGTCTTTTGAGTTTTAGAATTTTGGTTGAAATGTATGTTGTTTATTTAATTGATGTTCAATTCTGTTACCTTTTGATCTGGCAGCTTTCTTTTTTGTTTGTGGTTAATTGATTTGGCTTAGATATTGATTCTGTTTCCTACACTTTGATTGATTGGATTTTTGCTTTCTGAAATGATTTGATTTGATTCATTTTTACAAGGAGTTGGAATGAAATTTGAACTTTTGGACTGAAAATCAAAAGGATTTTGAAAGGTGGGATTTCATTTGAATGGTGGATTAATATTTGGAGGTAATAGACTGGAATTATTTCATGAGTGGTGAACTTTCAGAAGAGTCTGATGAAAGTGGCCCTCGAGAAATAAGAAAAATAAATTTGGACAAATTCAACCAGAGCCTGAAATCCGGTAGAAATTCAATCTAAATTAGAATGGGAAGCAGAAATCACCACTTTTTTATGCATAGGACAAAGGCCAAAGTTTTCCTGAATCCTGTTAAGCTGAAAAATAATGCAGCCAATTCAGGTTTAGGCTCACATATGTAATTACTTTTGTATGAATCTGTTGACATGGTTTCCTATATGGGTTTGGATGGTAATCTATATTGGTTCTGAGTATCAGGCGCGTAACAATTTAATTTTCTGGTATACCTGATTATCCTCTTAGTTCAATCATTTAGAAATCATTTGGCTTCATTTTCTTTACCTGTAGGTTGCGTACTACTGATACATTGCTTGACTGTGAAATATGCAATTCATCTGATGCATGACATGTTTTTTACATTTTGATGAAACACTTGCAAATATCTAATACATCTGAAAGGAAATTATCAGTTCAAATTCTAAGATGGCTTAAAGATTGTTGCCTTTTTTAGAGCTAATTGAAAGCACATACCATGCATGATATTCTTTCTGCCAAAAGATATTATATTCTTGCGATGGTACTCACTCTGGTAAAACCCCTAATTTTGGGGATGTAACCTTTTCAATCCATAGATTAACCTCGATAAAAAAAAAAGAATTCCTAACTGCACCTTTTATGCATTTAAAAAAAAGTCTCAAGATTGAATAAGAATGTCCAATTTTTAGAAGTGAGATCTAAGTGTTAGAAAGCCCAAAGTCAAAATTTTTCTTCTGAGAATAATCATCTACTGATTCTTATTTGGTTCCGAAATTTTTAAATTAAAAAGTCCTCCCTAGCAGGTCTTCTAACTGAGGGAGTAGATGTACTCTCTGCTCGTGAGGGAACATATTAGACACTTGTTTTTTTTTTTTGGGTATTTTCTTAATGGTGGTGTACTTTCTTGCAAAATCTATTTTCCAGACATGATACTTTAAAAACCCCGTCTATTTTCACGTAACAGACATTAACAGACAAAATTATGATTTCTAATTGTCAGGATTTCAACTTTGTTGTGTTAGTTTCTTGCATTTGCCTTCACCATATCATTGTATGTGAATTGGTATTAAATTCATTTCAGGTCTCGTAGTAAGATAAATGGTTTGGTAGCGATGACTCCGTGCATCTGCTTTGCAATTCTGATGGTTCTCTATTTGTAGCTTCTAGAATCAGAGAAATACTGGAAAGTGCTGGTTTGGCGCATGAAAATTTATCACCAACTGCTGTCACTTCAGCTCAAGTTCTTGCAAATGTTGCAAATTTGTTGAACATAAGGGATACAGAATTAAGTAGGTCAGTGTCTTTATAGTGACATGTTTTTGGTCTACATAGAACTTCTTGGTGTTTTCTGGAAGACTTAATACTGACTTATGGTTATAACATAGTTTTCTTGTGGCGATGGGTGATATTTCTCTGAGGAAGGCTGATGTGGATGAGAAAAGAGCTAAAGTGCAGAAGGAATCAAAAATACTGTTGGAATACACTCGAAAAGCCATCACAAGGCTAACTTACCTTAAAAGGTTAGCTTCATTGCCTTATTCTCTGCATTTTGGTCTTAGTTTTCTTATATTAGTGTAGTGGACATCTGTTGTATTGTAGTTCTCTTTGTGGCTCCTTTGTACTTATGGGGCTACAACATTTTTGTGGTTTATCTTCTGATATGAATTGAACTTGCTTATATTTCTTTACTTTCCATCATCAATTTGCTTGTTATGTGCACTTACGATGTATTTAAGAGACTTTTGACACCTTGAAAAGATCAAGGATGCTATTCGTAATTTGGTTCAATTGAATAAGACGGAAAATATTCGTGAGGGTTGGAGTGGTAATTTGAAAGTTTGAGTCATGCTTCTCTCTTTTTAAGAATGAGAAAACTTTTTTTTTTATTTTTTTTTGGGGATCTGAAGACCACTTTTCATTCACTGAAGCAGGACAATCAATGCAGTCACAACTCTCAACATCGGCAGAAAAATCTACATTGTGTTTATGCTAATTTTCTTGTGAATCAAGGAAGTGCACATCAATCACTTTTATTGATTTGGGCTTTGATTTTCATTGGGAATGGTTGATTTTTATGTGTAGAACCCTTGCACAATTAGAAGATGAAGTTGCTGGTTGTGAAGCTCAAATGTCACCTTGGCAAACAAACTTGGCAATCATGGTATCAAAGGAGCGACAGTATTTGCAACAACATGCTAACTATAAGGTACGGTACTTTATTACAAGTTTCATTACTTCATATGCACATACTTTAATATGTATGTATATGAATTGCTTGACTAGAATTTATTCATTCTTGGGGATTGTGGTTCAAACACTACTTGCTCAATCAATAACTTGAATATTCTGTATATCGTTAAATGTTTGGCAGCTTGGCTGTGCACTATTGATCTCCATGGATGATGGTCTGATATGATTGAATGCAACCTCTATCTTGCATTGATGTCCAAGAAGAACTTAAGTGTTATTTTCATTCATTTGGTCAGCAGATATCTTCTTGATAGCACACTGAGTATTCACTTACAGAAATACTTATTGGTTCGCAATATATGAAACTGTTCAAAATTCTGTAATCGTTTAAAAGTAATGTAATGGGTTTATCATCAATTGGGATGTGGTCATGTACTTCTGGTCCATGTTCTTGTCTTCTACGCTGGAGATATTACAAAGATGCATGTATTGAGGTCCTTTTGGATGCCAATGATGTTTATATGCATATAAAGAAGAAAAAACCTTTGCAAACGAAAAAGAGATCCTTTTTGTGAAAAATTTCCATTCTGGTATTGTGGTGTGGTGTTCAAAATAAATCGTTATAATAAAATATGAGGATGGGTTGTAGGAAAGGAGCGGATACTTTGTGGATAGATGCATACATGACTTCCTGTGGTACATTTAGTAATTTAGTTGCTTGGTAATTAAAAATTCATTGAACTTCACATTGAGAATGAACCATGCTGCCAAAGGGGAACACATCGTACTCTACCTTTTAGTTAATTTGAACCTTTGGCCATGGTTTGTGAGTGCCAGCTGTTAATCCTGCAAAAATGATTAGCTTGGTTCAATTAGGTAAAAGATTTATTTAATCAACTGGATTGCTTAGGACTCGGGACATTGGACATGTGAAAAAAATTTGATGATACTTTTAAATAAAGAGTGATAGTAAAACAACATATTATATATTGTTTGAGTTAGTTTATTTTTTCCCAAAATTAAAGATTTGAGCTAGATTATCTTCCATATACTTTCTTCTGTTGGTCGTTCTGTTTGTTCATGGGGAGTTCAAATTTTGATTTGACCCTTTTTCATTGTCTTGATATGGAGCAGGCAGTGCTAAGTCGTGTTGGGTACAACCCAGAAATCAGCCATGGTACACTAATGGAAATGGTTGAGCGAAGAAAGGAGTTGGAGAAGAAAACAAAACCCATTCTGGATACCTTGAGGAGCTATCAAGACTTGCCACCTGTACTACTCTCTGAATTCCCTGCCATGAATTAATTTATTAGATTGTGAAACGCAAATCAAGAATTTGTTTGGGTGTGAAGCGGAATGTAAGTTTTTTCTCTTTTTTTTTGCAGGATAAAGCTCTTGCTGCTTTGGCTATTGAGGATAAAAAAAGGCAACTTGCTGCAGCTGAGAATTACCTTGAAGAAGTGCTGCATACAGCCCTAGAGATCACGGAGTGATGTAATGGCATATGTATGGTAAATGTAAGAGCATTCTCTTCCATATATGTATTTTTCTATTTCCTTGATCCCCCAAAGAAAATTAATTAGGGGTGTATGGGTGGTACTAAAATATTTCACAAGAAGGTGTTCCAAGTTACTCTCACATTTGTTGAAAATCTTGTGACCACGACTGATTCCCTAGGAAATTTTGTTACTGAAGATAGCAGGTTATGTACATGGTGAATACGGTAAGATCTCCAAAGATAATACATTTCTCTTAAAGATGCATTAATGTAAAGTGAAACCCCCTAAAAAGCATGGGTTTAGTGAAAGAACCATGTAAATCACGATGCAATGCAGCAGACCATTGGCCTCGGCAAATGAATGCCTCTGCAAAGCATTCAAGATGCCCCAAAACAACTTTTTCTTTTTTTCTCATTGTAGCTGGTACTCTTAGCATATCAAGAGTTGAAAGTATGTCCCATGGACTAGACACACCTCAAACTCAGGGGATTCCATGAACTCCCTTCACTTGATTGTAGCTCACTTCACTCGGATTCCTTCCTTCACTCTCTTGTGGTAATTTTAGATGATTAATAGCATTGGGAAGCAATAATTTGATATTTTGTTGGGTAAGTGATAACGGTGATAATTTGCTTTTTGCATTATAGGCCTGGGAAAAAGGATTTTGGGGCACTATGCTGTGCTCCAAACGGAACTGTAATGTGCTCTACCTTGTTATCCACCATCTATTAGGCATGGATGGTGGAGATTGGCGTGCGGTGGGAAACAGTTGTCCTGGTACATGAAAAAAAGCCTTACAGACAGATGTCTGTCTGATCTCCAACTTCTGCTGTCCATTTATAATGGATGATGATGAGAAAAGTTAAGCATGCGGCGCTCTGCTCCTTGAGGGGTATACTGTATATTCCTTGATAATTTTTGGCCTTTCTTGAATGACAAAAAAATTGTTTAGTGGAGTGCTGCATGAACTTGTCATGGTTTATTCTATGAAAATGAGATATATAAATTTTTTTTACTGAAAGATATATAGGGTATTTTGAAGGACAAAAAAGATGTTTGGATTTCTTTAGTGGAAAACTTTGGATGCTTTAGGCTCTTTTAAGAATGTTAGGAAGAATGCCACATCTGAAGTTTAGGTCTCTAAACTGGAAACCTTTGGATGCTTTGGGCTCTTTTAAGAATGTGCGGATTAGACAGGAGGAAAAGAGAGGGAAAAAGAAAAAGGACAAAAGAAAAGAGGTGACAATAGTTCTGGTTCCATTGCTTGGTAATTAGCTGTGGAAAACAACATTTTTAGGTTCTTATCCTTGGGCGGTCAGCCGTGGGAATTAACATTTGAACTCTAATATTATAATCCTATACTTCCAAGAAGTCAGAAAGTAAAGGTCAAAATAAAAATCTATTTACATGTTCATAATCCAAGCCTTTCCAAGATAATGGTCACTTCATTCTTTTATGGAAAATGGTTTGATAGGGCTGCAGCCCTATTAAACTAAGTAAAGCTCACCTCATAACTCATCAAAAATTACAATTCAAGCATTGAAATTTTTTTCCATGGATCATCTCGGCTTGAACAGTATGGTTGTAAAAAAATTAGGATTTTAAGCTTCAACACCGTCCATTTCACCCAAAAAATAAGTGTTCATGAATCGACAAGTTATATATCATTTTTTGAGTTTCAAATTTTATTGTCGGTGTTAAAAATTGATTTTAGATCCATCATGGAGATTTCTGTTGCAAGAAGTGTTTTCCAGATGAGGATTTTGAGATTAGGATTTATTTTGTTCTCATAAAGCCTAGGCGTTATACAAACTTAATCCTTCATTTATATATGATTTATTTCCCGTGTACATGTAAAATAGGCCCTTTTGTTGTCCTTGCCCTTATCCCCAGATTTACATGGCGGGAGTTTCGCCTTAAATACACATTGAAAAATGAGAAACTGAAGGAAATTTACATGGATTCATATACTTTATTGAAGGGAAGTGGCCATGGCTAAGGAGAGAGGGAGCACTCAGGGGGAAAACCTTGGGGGAAACGCTTCAAATCCTTGCAATAGTCATAGATCATGTAATTCTTTTGAACCCACTTCAGCTTCTCTTCTTTGCTTGGGTCTAAGGCTTGAGTTCTCCAATCCTTGGATGAAGAGGAAGAAGCACCGCAAGAAGATTTGCCTCCTAACCATACACAGCCACTTGCTCGGAAATCTCGATAGGAGGCGGTGAAGGGAGCTTGGGACCAATCGGTCTTGATTAGGCCACCCCTCGTGGCCCAATCGTCGGCGTTCCAAAGGCTAGAGTAGAGCCTCATGGGTTGGTCTTTTGGATAGGGAACCCCAATAGTTTCAGCATTCTTGAAGACTCTTATAGGGATGCCATCTACTGTAAAGCTGATATAAATCACAAAATTTGTTTTAGTCTTGCTTTTTTCTAGACCTTTTCTTTTGTGAAGTCTTTTGGGATTCAGATTTCATGCTTTCAATGCCACCTTTCTAGAAAAACTTCAATATTTTGTGCCGAATTCTAATAGTTACTTGAATAATAATATCGAAATGTATTACTTGTGGGGATGTGTTTCTATTGTTTGGATGGATGGGTAATGGAAATTTTGAACTCTTATTAGAATAAATCCAGTAAGAAAGGTGGGGGGATATCCAAGGTAGATGTTATGGTTAATTTACAAAACTTATTCTCTCTCGGTTCAGTCAAAACTAGGCCTAGGAGCATTTGGATTGCTCCATATTCTGAAAGCTTAAAGCTTAATTTTGATGGAAGTTCCTTGGGGAATCCAGAGATGATAAGTATAGGTGGCCTTTTGAGAGATTGTTTTGGAAATGTTTCATTTTCATATGCAGGCCCTATTGGTTCTGCAACAGCTAAACTTGCTGATTAGCTGAATTAAGTGTTTTATTGTGTGGTCTCAAAATTTCAGAAGCAGGAATTTTGGTATTAGCTGTACGATCGAAGGTGATTCTTTGAGTGTAATAAGATGGAGCAGAGAGTTCCGTAGACACTTCGGTCTTTATGGTTAGAGGTGATGGATGGGGTTGATCATCTAGTGGTGTCTTTTGCTCATGTATACAAGGAGGCTAACACGGTCTTTATGGTTAGAGGTGATGGATGGGGTTGATCATCTAGTGGTGTCTTTTGCTCATATATACAAGGAGGCTACCACTATTGCCGATGCCTTGGCTAAAGGGGTATCTTTTATTCCTTGCCTTTTAGTTTTTGATGATGTAAACTTTTTTTTTTTAAATTCAATAATATCATTGCTCTTAGTCAAAAAATAATAATATGAAACTTATTTATACAGCTGTGATGAATTGAAAGCTACCTAATGTTATAGAACCAGTCTTCATCCATCTATTTTTTGATGGGATATATAATGCGTACATCAATTGGTATGACCCATTATTAACAACATAAACAACATAACAACGGCATCTGGGTAAACCAAAAGTCAGTATTAATTGGTTTTGCTCCCTATAAAAAAAAAAAAAAAAAAAAAGTGCCAAAAAAGTGGTCCAAAGAAAAATGAGCACCCAAAAAATCATTGATTGAAATAAAAAAATTCAAAAAAGAAAATTAAAATTAAAATAAATAATTTGAATAGGCTTTCAGCAAACTTTGAAATTATTTTACAAAAATTTATTTTGAAAAATGATAAAAGGATAGTGATTTTTTTTAAAAAAAAATAAAGTTTTTTTAAAGTTATTTTAGAAATTCGTGCATTTTGAAATGTTTATTTGAAAAATTGGAGTTTTTGAAAAATCGCATTTTACACAGTTTTGCTAGCTATCGTTGTCTTTTTGAGTTTTGAGTGGCATAATTCTAATATTCTTCCGGGCTATTCACCTTTTTAATCTCCATCCATCCATTTGAACTTATCTTCTTTCTTCTGTCAATAATTTATTTTATTGATGGGACAAAATTCAGGTCCCAATCCTTGTCTTCCTTTATACAAAGTTTAGGTTCCAATCCTTGTCCTCCTTCATACAAAGTTTAGGTTAATATTTCAAGGGACTATAGAAAACAAAAAGGTCTGGGCCCTTAGAAAAGATTATTTTAACCAATTTCATATTATGAGAGTAGATGGTCGGATTGCTCAAGGGCCCCCAAAAAGAATTATTGAGCTTGATACAAATTTAGAGCAACAGCATTGAAAAAGACTTCGTTCAAATCTCATCTCCCATTGAATGATTACAGCTAGATGGAAAGAGTTGATAAACGAGACTTGGTTAAATTTCATAGAAGACCCAGTTTCTATGCGGCTAAGCCCGCACATGTAGAAATGCGGCCTATTAATAAATCTATTTTTGAGATGGATTTTAGGACTTAATTTTGTAGGACATGTAATCTCTAACAATGAGATCATGAATATGAAAAAAAAAAAAAAATTAAATTAAAAATAATAATTATAGTAAGAAAACATTTGGATTGTTAGTTTGCATTGTGGTTAGATGGAACACTTACTTGTATCCATTTTTAAGATTTGATGCTTTACACTTTATGGATTGCCTACGTAGAAATGCGGTCCAGCCAGCATGAAACAATTTTCCTTAGTAGAAATGGCTCCTTTAGAGAAAGTGACCCTTAGGCAATGGCCTCTAGTGAAATTTCATAGAAATGGAGAAAGTCACCCTTATGCAATGACCTCTATCCAGGGTGATGGTCTAGTCCAGGGTAGTAAGCTACCACAACATGTTTGGAGTTCTAGTCTATAGAGATTCAATTTAACATTTAAAAATAAAATAAAAATAAAAAACAAAATAAGCCATGCACTCAATTATACTTAAATCCGCTGTGTGAACATCTTTGTGTTTTAGAAAATTTGTGAAAATTCATTATAAAGAGCCCTAGATCCCATTATCCTAGTTAGAAATCATGGAGCTGGGTTACTTGTGATTGCATGATATATAAAATGGGATTGTACTACAAGACCATTTATGTTTTGGTACAAGCTCACAACCATCTGAGTTATCCGATGTGAAATTGGGCTCTAGAGGAGGGTGTTATTTATTTGCCATGAAGTCTGAAATGTTTTTTTGTGGAGCTTTTGAGCTAGTCAGTGGGACTATTCCAGACAGCTAGGGGTAATTATGATATTTTCATACCAAAGGTAAACAATCTTTCTCATATACCAGGGAATTTTCATAGAAACATATAGGAAAAGTAAGAAATTCTTACTAAGAACCTTAAAAAAAATAAAATGGTGGTCTCTGAAAATCTTGTCACCTGTGAATTGACCAAAAGGACATGCAAAAACCAAGATCAAAATAGTGAATTGAAAAACATATTTGGACGATGCATGATCACGTAGGCAATACGCTACAGTATATCCTGCCTAATGAGTACTTAATTGCTCTTATGTTCAAAACGCTCCAATTGAGCTTTACAGGTGTGCTCCAAAACTTTAGGTCGAAAAATTCGACCAAATAAACAAGTCTTTTTGGTGTTTTCTGTTTTATTGCCAATTCAGGCAAAAAACGGAATCGGTGTCGATTATGGCACCGGCGGTCCGTGTTGGATCGTTGGCCCCCAGGGCGTTTTGCGAATTCTGTCTGCATGGTGAGAGAAAGTGAAATTTGATCTACGACTCTAGAACCGGCATAGTCTCGAAATTTGGATCATCTCCATAGGAATTCAGGCAATCTAGATTCTGGGTGTCTTGGGTTAATTCTCTAATTTGGTTCATCTGAAGCTGAAAATCCTCTAGTTTGAGCTCACTCGGATGATTTTGAAGCGGCTTGCCAAGTTTGTTAACACTTCTAGTGAATTTAAGCCCTTATACGATAGTAAGAATGTAAATATGTGTGTGTTTTTTATTATTTAAAAGTACGGGTAAGTTGTGGTGTTTGCATTAAATTTTTATTGCCAAGTGGAATATTATACGATTTTTTCAGTTTTTGATGACATGGTAACAGTTTCAGCCTTTTAGACGCTTGTGTTTTGTATCTTAAAGAAGCACGTGTAGAAATCAGGATTCCACTAAATTACCTAGCCCTTTGAAATGACGACAAAAATGGGTTTGCTTGGCCTTTTAGTCAAGGGAAAAGCTTATATCGAGCCTAGGCTCTAAATTATCAAATTAGAGCCTACTTCAAAAGTTGTTTTGATGCTAAAATATTTTCAAATTGATCATCTCGACATCGAGATGCATGAACTTGAAAAAAAAGTAGATTTCAAGTTTTAAAAATAGTGCATTTTGTAACGTATTTTTGGATTGTCAATTTTTAAGTTATTCAAGTTTTTATAAATATGCTCGATCTACATTGTTTTTGAAGCTATAAATTTTATAATTAAAGATGAAAATATATTTTAAAGCTAGTAAAAGATTTATAGCATTGAAACCATATTTCTCGATACTATTTGATAGTGGGCTTTAACTTGATTGTTTGGATTCTCGGCTCTATACAAACCACAACCTTTAATTAATTAAATATTTTTTTTGGACTTTTTAAGCATTGGTCAGGTGTTCCATGTTTCCTTCCCAAACATGTTTCCTCTCTTTCTCTCTCTCCCCCCCTAAATAAACTCTCTCACTAAACCAAAAACACCTTCCATTCTCTCTCTTATAAATAAACTCTGTCTCACAAATTAAAAAACACTTTTCCATTTTCTCTCTCTTTCTTTAATTTAAGAAGTCTCTCTTTCTGTAATTTAAGAAGTCTCTTTCTCTCAGTAACCCAATATGAAGAACAAAAAAAAGGAGTGAGAAAGTGATAGGAGCTCACAGAATCTGTTTCTGATTCCATAAAATGGAATAGGTATGGAAGCCAGCTCTAGGGTCGAACCATAGATGGAACTGTTGCTCCCTGTTTCCCTTGCCTTGGGTGTACACATTGGTGTGCAAAGTGTATGGTTCTCCACTTAAATTCCCCAAAAACTCATAATCTATCTCATCGTGTGTCGACCCAAACGAAGTGAGCTGCAAAAAGTGTCGAGGCATCAAAACTGGTCGGGATTAACCAACCTAGGGAGAGAGAGATATATATATATATATATTTCATGTGTTTACATCTACCATACCCCCAATAAAGGATAAAGTTTATATAAAGGCGAGGCCCTAAACAATCGGATTAATGCGCACCTCAAAAAGTCATTGTTTTAATATCCAAAATCCTCAAATTGATTATCTCAAGTTCTCAACCTCAAGATGAACGGATATGAAAGAAAATAGATTTCAAATATTGGAAATAGTGCATCTTGAAATGTATTTTTTGGATGGTCAAGTTTTAAGATTTTTAAATATATAAATCTGTTTGATTTATACTATTTTTGAAACTTTGAGTTTTATAATTAAATATAAACATAAATTTTCAAACCATCATAAAAATCTCTACTATTAAAACATCTTTCGATACTATTTGAAGGCGCCCCTTACTTTGCTGGTTTAGGGCCTCCTCCTTATACAAACCACACCCAACTAATAATAGGCTCCATGGTTCTTGGGTAGTTCAAAAACCAAGGAAAACAAGTTAATCAACCAATTGGGGAGAGAGATTAATGGCTTATTTTTGTATGTGTGAACGAGAGAGAGAGTTTTTTTGCATGTTAGCATGTAATGGCTTGTTGTGTCTGTGTGTACGAGAGAGAGAGAGTTGCATATTACATGTAATGGCTTGTTATGTGTATGTGATGGAGAGAGAGAGAGAGAAAGAAAGAGAGAGAGAGATTTTGGTAACATGTTATGGCTAGTTGTTGGCTTACATAGTATGCAGTAACAGTGCCAGCTGAATTTCCAGGCACTACTTTAATACGCATCTCGATTTGAGCAAACAGAAACTCTTGTTTCGACTTAAACCCTGAACCTGACGACCTATCTAGAGACAGTTGCAACATCTCCCCATTCTCTACTATTTTTGCACGCTCATTTCCCCATTCAAGATCAACTTCACTATAAAAATTGGCCGAAATCATAAGTATTTTAGTCAAGAGAATAAATAAAGTAGGAATTGAGCACAAATTGAAGACACCCATTTCTTTTTTTTCTAGAGAGAGAGAGAGATGTGAGTTGCAGGAGGTGACTGTGTAGGGGGAAGTGATGGGATTTTATAGGCTCATGGTGGGGGATGAGAGAGAGAGAGAGAAACAGAGATTGGATGACGCTAGAGAGAGAAAGGTTCAAATTTTAGATGATAAGGAGAGAGAGAGAGAGAGATGGGTGCGGTCCAGGAGGAGTGGAGTGGCAGCTGGCTCTCTCCATTGCTGGCGTTTGAGATTGAGACCTCAACGCGTAGCTGGTGGCTTCATATATGGGTCTCAGCTGCCATCGATTGACTGGGTGTCTCTCTCTCACAACACACACTTTGCTTCCTCTCTCTGTCTCTCTCACAACACACACACACTTTGCCTCCTCTCTCTCTCTCTCTCTCTCACAACACACACACTTTGCTCTCTCTCTCTCTCTCTCACACACACACACTTTGCCTCCTCTCTCTCTTTCACACAAACACACACTTTGCTTCCTCTTTCTCTCTCTCACACTCACACACACAAAAGCAGAACCTTTGCTTCCTCTTTCTCTCTCTTGGTCACCCTCACCCCTTGTTTCTTCCTCTCTCCCTCTGCTCACCCTTTGCCTCTCTCTCTCTTCATTGCTTCTCTCTCTCTCTCATTAATTCTCTCTCTCTCTCATTATTTCACCACCTTCCCCAACCATAAACACCCCCCTTTTCTTTCATAGTAGTACATTGAACTACTTCTCCGCACGGCTCCACGGCAAAAACAATAATGGTACTACTAACAAAGCTGCTTTTTGACCTTGGGGTCTCTCCATAACCCTACATCGCCTATTTTTGCTCCATATATAAGATAAATTATAAATGTGAAATTTGAAGAGTTAATTGAAAGTTGAGCAAAATAGTATCGAGACCGAATTACACCATTTGGTTTGATTGCCTAACTGTTTTTTAAATCTGTTTGGTCAATTTGTTAAAACTAAAAACTAGTTTTGATAACTTGTTTTCGACTAGCTAGTTAGAGACCAATCAATTTTGACTGATTCGACTCGTTAAACAAAATTGACTATTCTTTTTAAAAATACTTTATAATTTTAAAAGAGTTGAAAGATAGAGATAGGGTTTATTTGACATGCAAAAAAACCTTGTTAGGTCTAAGTTGGAAGAGAGTAAAGGGTCCATTTGATCATGTGTTTCAAAACCTAGATCGATGGAATGGATAGTTCGCCCAATGTTGGATAATTGGATTGGCTATTCACATCGACTTTGACCTGCTTCAAATAGGTGATAAAAAAAAAAACAAATGAAATAAAATGAAAATTAAAGGTGCCCCAAAGAATATTAGATAAGCTTACCAAATGAAAAACGTATGTGTGGTTTTAGGGTGAACTGGACAAGGACCTATACCATCCAAAGAACGTTTGGGTCCCAACAAATTCCCATTTAGAGCAGTGATTTGATCGAAAATTGACGGGTTTTAAAACGATACAAGTTGTGGGAGAGAAAGGGAGAACACTGGTTTGTTATGGAGGGGGGGGAAAGCTTGTTTGAGAGAGAGAAGAGGGGAGAGGAGAGTACTTAGTTTGGTCCAGTTTGAGAGGGACATAGGTTTGCATCCAAGTTGAGAGAGAGAGAGAGAGGATTTATTTGATTCAAGTAGAAAGAGAGTATTTGTTTGATTCAAGTAGAGAGAGACAGAGGGGTTGGGGGTTGTTGTGCTGTTTAGTCCACGTTGCATCAGGTCCATTCGTTCTTATCTCTTTGGAAAGAAAGGGAGCCAGATCACAATGTATCTTGCCTACTGTTTGTCACTTGTCCCCACAAAATGACATGATTCCTAAACGTGCATTTCATGTTCAAATTGTCTCTCACAGGAAAAAGGGATCAATGCATAGCTTAGAAGTGAATTTTTTGCTTCTTCTTACCAGCACAGGTGGTTGTGATGGAATCATGCAATAGATTTTTTATTTTTTTATTTTTTTAAAAGAGGATTTAATGACTTCAGGTCATCCCTCTCTCAATTTGCCAAATGAGATGCAAACACGGTAGAGAGAGAGAGAGAAATGCTCCCCCAAAGCACAATGTACAATAACTACCTTGGGCAAAATAGCTACTTGGAAAATCTGTTTTTTGAGTCTTAAGTTTTGGGTTCCATCTGAGTTTCACTAGATGAATATTGTCAAAGAAAACATGTGGATTTTAAAACATCTAGGTCTTTCCCTTCAAATATTGGACAGTTCCTATGGAATATAGGGATAGTACTTTTTTGTTACATATGTGAAGCCAAATCACACTTTTGGGTTTTATTTTTGACTTTTCACCTCTCTCATTTTTGGCCATTGGGTTGTAACCAGTGTTTTAAAAAACGCCGAGTCAAAACAAACGCCGAGTCGACTCGAAAATCGTAAAAGTGGATCGAATCGGCTGAAAAATCGGAAATCGTCCGGTTCTAGAGAGAACCGGACGATTCTGTACAGTGACTCGCCGATTCGCTGTACGGAATCGGCGAGTCGGAACAGTGAATCGGCGAGTCCGTACGGATTTTTTTTTTTTTTTTTGTAATCCATGATAGATTTTTTTGTAATACTTGATCGATTTTTTTGTAATCCATGATCGAATTGTTTTTGTTTTTTGTAGTCCATGATCGAAGTTTTTG